TTCCAAATGGCCACACTGAAAGGCGGTACTGCCATCATAGGGAAGGGCAAGACACGATAAATGGTTCAAATGGGGCACACATTTTCAGACAGTCTGTCCTTGAAGGCATTCATGGTGTTGCACTTGTTTGTACACACAAAAATGTGAAGAAGGAAAAAAGTGATTTCTTGGGATTTGTTGGCATTTCTCTTGAAGGTTTTAACACCTAAATATTTTTATATATGGATGGATAGATGAGAGTATCAGTGTTATTAGCACAGTGTCGAATTCTGAGCCTTTATTGGGTCAAAAAAGTATCAAAAGTGTTTGCAAAAAGCAATATGATTTTGTCAATTGTACTGTTTAATAATAATAATAAGCTTTATTTATAGAGCACTTTTGAAAGTGCTTTAGCAAGAGCAAAGAAAATAAAACAGCAAACAAAATAAGATACACGGTAAAAGCAGGAAGAAAGATATGAAAGTAATGAAAAAATACAGTTAAAAGAAAAAAAGATAATTAAAATCAACTAAAATCAGGAAAGGCTCTTCTAACAAAGTATGTTTTAACTCTTAAAAGAGTTCACTGACTCAGCCGGTACGTCCTGGTGCATATGAGACTAAAAGGTCAGAGATATAACGAGAGAGGCCATGAAGAGTTTTAAAAGAAATCAAACAAAATTTTAAAGCCTTTTCTAAAACATACTGGGAGCCAGTGTAATGAAGCTAAAACAGGACTGATGTGATCATATTTCTTTGTTCTGGTCAAAAGCCTGGCAGCTGAGTTCTGCACAGTCTGCAGTCGATCAATAGATTTTTGGATCAAGCAAGTAAAAAGGCTGTTGCAGTAATCCAGGCGTGATGCGTGATGATGTGAAGGCGTGTAACGTGGACTCAGTGTCCTTACAAGTTAACATTGATCGTATTTTTGATAGAATTCTAAGCTGGTAAAAACATGATTGCACAAGCTTTGTGGTGTGCTGCACAAAACTTAAATTACTGTCGAACGAGACACAAACATTCTTTGCAACGGGCCTGATATGATTCACCAGGGAACCAGCAGATGGCAGTATTTTAGCTACTGAAGAGCTAGACAGGAAACATGTGGAGAGAGTGAGGTGGATGACCCCTGGCAGAAGGTTTTTACCCACAGACAGTATATTACTGGGCAAAGCCACCCCGCTGATTTGAATGGAGAGCAGTGAAGCCAGTTTTGGGCCAATAAAATACTAAAGGGTTACTTCCTGTAGCGCATGATCGAGAAGCATAACCGTGGTTTAATGACGTAGAAGAACGGCAGAAACACCGTAATTCTGGTAGCTGCATAGCTGCGCAAACAAAAGGTCTCATGTGTGTCTCAGTGTGTTTGTCTGACTCGGATCAACACTGATAAATCAGCCCTCCTACGAGGCTCACCTGTCAAACACCAACGCAGCGTCACTGATTGCCGAATAGTTTTTTTAGATTGCCGAGAGCTCATAATCTAAGCAATACGGTTACATCTCTCATGTGCGACGGGGTGTCACAGGGTTTTGACGTCATTTTTGGGCCTACATGGGTCCCTCCATGCAGACTTTGGTCGGCTTCACTGTCCGATCTCTGGCTTACCCCCTTGTTTTTACCACGAGATTATGTAAAGGGGAAGTGAAATGTTGCCACATTTTGTAGTTTTTCTTATAAATGCTATACATTTTGCCATATCTGCACCATGGAGAGTCATGCTGCACTAACAGCCCCTTTTTGTACTGTAATCACGGATGTACAGACTGCAAGCAACTTAATTGCTCTTAATGTATGAATAAATGTGAACGCGCATCTTCATAAATCAGAAAAACTGGAAATGAGTGATTTTAAAATGCATCACTCAGTTGTTAAAGGGGTTGAAAGCAGGCCTAAATGTAATCCAGCGATGACGATGTGCAGTACCGGCTTTAAACAACAAATCATACATCAAAACTGTCTTCAGCAATGAAAAAAAACATTTTATTTTACACACCCTTTACTGTCTGACTCTCATTTGTATGTTCAGTGTCTGCTTGAGAAAACCCAGCAGAAAAGCAGAGAACCAGCCCTGACAAGGCTGCAGTGACATTTTATTATTATCCGATCTGAGGGATTCCTCGGCCAGTGTTCATGGAGCTCCAGGAGATGCAGCCAGAAAAAATATTCTCCACTCTCTGCAGGTTGGTGACTGACACTTCAGATTACTGTAACTTCTTCTGCAAGCTCATTGGTATTCTCCTTCTACAGCTGTGGAAGTAGGGACAAATATAATAAAATGTATTGTTGTTTACAGGCATAATGAATGAATCAGAGGGAGGACAGAGAAGGGAAGGAGAAGAGCTGTTGAGGAAATTAATTAAAAAGTAAAGATGGAGGAAAAGGAAGATGAGAGAATTAAAAGAAAAGCATAATATACAGAGACAAAAAAAGAAGGGATGTGAAATGAAGATAAAGAGTTGGTGGAGTAGAAAGAAAACTTAGGAGGAAGCAAAAAAGGGTGTGAAGAAATGAAGAGAGTGGAAAAGATGATGAAAACTGCAGAATGTGAGGAAGAATGGACGATAGAAGGGAGGAGTTAAAGAGGGTGTTAATAGGGATGGTGGAAAAGAGTGAGGAAGAGATGGAGCATGGTATAAAGAGGGAAAGAGGATGGATGGACAAGGGGGGTAAAGGAGAAGAGATAAGAAAGGAGTGATGAATGAGAGTGTGTGTGCGCATATATATATATATATATGAGAGAGCGGGGGAAAAAAAGGAGACAATGAGAAGAGAAAAGTAAATAAAAAGAAAATAAGAGGAATAATAGAGAACATTGAGAAGAAAAATGGTGAAATGTAAAAAAAAACCAAGGAGAAAGGAAGGTGTGGGGGAAGGTATGAGAATGAAAATTGAAACATGGGACGAAGAAAATGAAAAACATGAGATGCCGTGAAAGAGAGATGGATGCAGAGGAGCGGAGGGGGAGAAGGAGGAGTTGGCCTTGGCTCACGTCCTTTCCTTGTTTCTATCCTGCAGTTGAATAATTAATGGCAGGTTTAGTTTCCCATTACCTGATGCTACACACACACACACACACACACACACACACACACACACACACCTTTGTATCCCACACAATACTGAACATATGATGAGACACATTTTAATTGTTTTGTATGAAATACAGTCATCGTATGTGCTAATTCCTCATTAATCACCACTAATCTCTTCAACACTGACTGCACGGTCCTCCCAGTACCGCTGTCGTCCCAGCACACACACACACACACAGAGCCTCAAAACAACATACTACACAGAGACATTTTATATTCATAGACGTGCATAAGTAGCGTAATAACAAATGTTTTTCCTGAAGGTGGCACAAGAGAATGATGGCTTATTAAAATTGAAGACAATGAGAAGGGAAAGAAAGGTCTGAGGTGTCTATGAAAAAATAAATAAATAAATGTAATTCAAATAGCTGAAGTCAAAGAACACAAATACAACATCCCAAATATAAATCCACATCCCCCAAATGTTGACCATATATTTATATTAGTTATGTGTACAGTGTGACGGAAGCCAGTGAGGCTCTGCGGTGAGTAAAGCTCACTCCCTGACACCTTAAGAGACACACTGGCGACTGACGCTAGTGCAGATGGGTTTTAGTCTCCCGGTCCGAGTCAGGACCGTGCAGTACGTTCTCGGGAACAGCCGGTTACATATGCATTAGGAAGCATTTGTAATCTAGTCTGTGTGTAATGAGACAACTACAGCAGTAACTAATATAATTAAACCACAAATCATAGTGTTGCATAAAACTTCACCAAACAATCCCGTCTCTGCACGAGCTCTCTGTCTGGGTTCTGTGACAATATTGGTCTGACTCTATCATTTCAGACTTATGATGCAATCACATTAAACATTTTGATGTATCGTTACTGTTGTGAAGCAAACTGAATAAGGCTCAACTTGAATGTTTTTCACTTGAGGTTTGGGTTTTCCGATTACTGAGAACTCTGGGTGCACGCTCCAGGCTGACGCTTTTTCGTGAATCTAATGGGTCACGGGATTCTTGTCTGAATCCTGCTGAATGGGAATCAATTTTACTAATCATCACTAATCATCCTATATAAAGCGTGTTATGAATTGTAACTAATGACTTCATTCATTCTAATAAATCAGTAAGGCTTCACAGATCACCTGTAAGCCAGGTTGTGTAAAATCCTCCTCCAGCATGACCCTTGATTTGCCGTTTTAGCTCTCCCGACCCGGTGATAATTACATCAGATGTTGCTGGGAAGTGTGTTTTACTGCTTCCACCGACTGACCAATGATGAATGATCACCTGACACCTCATTATGACACTCACCGAATGATTGTAAACGTGTGTGTGTGTGTCAGATCCATTACTGCGAGGTTCCACGTCCCTGTGGAAATCACTGCAAACTCCTACCCATATATACAGTAGACAGAACTGAAGTTTAAATCCTCTTCTTCTGACACGCACACACACAGTCTTGAGGCTGCAGCCAATGTTTCACCCTAGAGAAATGCCTGCCTGCAGTGGAAACTCATTGAAATCCTTTTACAAATTTTTATTACTTTCCTGAATTTACAACACAAAAGTGTAGCAATATTAATATCACTGATCACATTTTACTGTAGCACACAAAAGACGCAAGCAAACCCTTTAACTCCTCATGATCCACTGCAGACATCCTCAAATGAAGACTTGCTCTTTGTTCTTTGGTGCTTAAGAACAGTTTACAACAACTTTTCACTGTCATCTTTAAGTGACTACTGAAAACTCATTCAGCTGCTTTCATGTACATTCTTGTTTAGCCTTTTAAGTTCCTTTCGTAATTTTTTTTCATATTTTCAATGGGCCCATTACCTCATGTTTTGTTGTGTCATTTTAGTTTTCAGTTTCTGCACTGCATTGGAAATGTGCTGTATAAATAGTTTGTTGCTTTCTTTAGATCAACAATTAGTTAATGACAGAATAAGCACAGTCTTAAAGAAAATTGCAACACCCCGCAGATGTCCCAGACTGTTTATTTAAAGGCTGTGAGGCGTCGTATCTGGTGAGGGGCAACAATGGTCTGATATATCGGTTTATCAACCTCATTACCATGAACACAGGACACAAATAAGAGAGCAACTACCATCTCTCATTCATGGCTTAATTAATTATTCTGAACTAATTCTCATATTAGTCTAGTGTCCACACTCTGTTCTGTTTGCTCTCTCTCTCCATTTAGTCATCACTTTGTATATTAATCATTCCCTTGCTATTCCAGCCCTACACTCACTTTTATCTCCAACTGTGAGGCTATATGCTAACTTATGTGTCTTAATCCAGCTTTTCCTCCTGCCTGTCCAGTCTTTTCTTCTTTTACAAAAAGGATCCAATTGCAGACCTCATTGCTGGGATCCCTCCACGCTCGCTCTTGGCTTGCACCCTGGGGTCCGCAGGAGTGAGGTGAGTCTGAAGCGATGAGTTCAATCAGGAAAGACGACTGCCTTCATGCTTATCTTTTTATTAATTACTCTCTGTCTCTCTCTGTTCCAGCGCCTAATTCAATCAGATGACTCAGTTAAACTAATCAGATATTGCCGCAACCTCTGTGAGCCAATCGTCTCAGTGGAGTGCCCCTGTAACTATTGTTATTTCTGTAAGCTGGATCACAGCAGCATCCATCTGCCAATTTCTCTGTCGCCATTCTTAATTCCAAGAGAGGTTAATGTTTTCAGCTTTATTCCAGAGGGTTTAGATTTATTATAATCGATGGTTCACGGTTTCATAGCCCCGTACTAACTTTAAAGGGATAGTAATTGATTGTAATACACTTAGAATACACACTTGCACAATCCACTTTATAAAATTCAGAATTTCCTGACGGTTTGCTAGCTCTCCGTTTTGTGTGTGTTCTGAAAATAAACTCCAGTTTCCCTACACAGCCCAGGCTTTGGAAAACAGAGAAGGGCCTTCCCCACAACACTGTTTCAGCCAATCAGCAACAGGCGGCGTAAGTGGTTGTGCACAAGAGTGGTGGCAGAGAGAGTTCCTAAAGAGAGGGTTTTATCTGCTTTGCATTGGAGTTTAAATTTGACCAATCCTTCTGCAGAATCACTTACTCTCCCTTTAATGCCACCTTGACCAACAGGCTCACCTGCACTTTACCTAACATCACCCGTGTTTAGGGTCATTTGTCTAAGTATTTTATTCAGACCTTACACACAAGAAACCAAATTTAGGCTTTTAGTTTTGGCCCTTGGCTGTTACCTGACAAACAACTTTTCAATAACACTACTTAAAGTAATTTGTGGAAATAACTGAATGTTGTTAAATCCTGTTTAGTTCATTCCTTGGGGGGAAAAGCCCCCCGACTCCTGTCCGCAGGAGTGAGCTCTGCAGTTGGACCCTCATGTCTATTCTTCCACTTCTAATGGTTTTTATTTCTCCCTCAGCATCTCTCCATTCCACCTGCCCGCAGACTGTCCAGCTGTTAACGGTGGGAGGAAGAGACAGAGAGAAGATAAGGTGAGAGGGTTTGCAGCGAGATAGATTAGTGACAATCAATTAACTGTGGATAAAATGTAGAGAGTGGGAAGAGGACAGAAAGATTCAAAAAGAGATTGACAAGCAGGAGAAAATTAGGTGGAAGGAGGGGGTATAGGCAAAAAAGGAAGAGAGAAAGATGGAAATGAACACAGTTCAGAGATGGCACGATATAAATAGAGCAATAAGAAGAGAGAACATTGTTCACACTTCAGAGCTATAAAAAGTCCTCTTCACCCAAGAAAAGTGTATTCCCTTGCATCTAGATCATCATGGAGTGAGCAGTTTGTTGTGTTGGAGTAACGTTAGGAAATAAAACCTTAGTAGCAGTTCCTCTACATACACGACATCTCCTCTCCCTCATTTCCAGCATCGTCCTCCTTCCACCTTCCTGCAACAACCCACCTCTCACGAGATTTCAGAGCATGACTTCAGATTCCTATTAAAAACAAAGGCTGTCAGCAGTAGGGATCATTTCCGTCAGTCAGACACCTGGTATGACAGTCTGAGCCTGTTGGTGGCAAAAACAAGCATTTTTGTGGAAGTATTTTCGATGGGGGAAATTGCCCCGAAGGAGTAGGTTGTAGCCACTGCAGCCTGTTCACAGCTGCTGGCTGAAGCCATTTACTCCACAGGTTCCAAAACATTTTGTACTTTTTGGTCATTTTAACACAAAAATATGTGGAAATACATTTTAAAATACCAAAATTATTCTTTGAAGTGACTTTCCTGAAGCACCTTTGTAGTTTGGATTTAAAGCCCCAACAGAGTCAAAATGTCTAATGTCAACCGGGAGGGTTTCCAAAGGAAGAATGAAAATCCAAAAATGAAATGTATCCAAACCTCTCCAAACAACAATATGATGCAGTTTTCCTTTTTTTAGGATATGACTTTGTTCCTTTGGGTGAATTTAGCTACTTTCTGCAGGTCATGCCACTCCTGACGATCTGACATGCTTACATCTGTTACATTCAATTCAAATTAGCTTTATTGGTATGAATGTGTAACAACAATATTGCCAAAGCATCATACAAACTACATAAGAACAATCAACCCCATACATAATATAAATAAATAAAACAGTAAGTGTTAAAAAGGCCAGCAACACCTTCTACCCCCTATCTTCAAAAGTGGTACTTTCCGCCCCCCTCTTAGAGTGGTATGTTCTGTCTGCCCAGTGCAGTTCACACAATCATTGAGAGATCTGAGAGTTCCAAGCGTGTGTGTGTGTGTTGAAAAAAATATTAAAAATAAAATAAATAAAACAGTAAGCTTGTGTGTTAAAAATATAAATATATTACAAATAAAAAAATAAAACAGTAAGCGTGTGTGTTAAAAATATATATTAAAATTTTTTAAATAAAATAGATAAATGAAACCGTAACGTGTGTGTGTATATTAATACAAAAATTAAATAAATAATTAGTTGATTAAAAAATAATACATTTTAAAAAAGAAATCAGTATTAAATGTAAAAACAAAACAAGTCTCTCCTCTTGTGGTAGCCAGCTCTGTCTGTGTCGACCCTTTGCTATGGCCAGGCTGTGTTCACTCAGTCTGTGTGTTGTTGTTGTCTGTATTTTTCTTAGTGTAGGACATTCTAGTGTACTCAGGTAATTTGCCAGTGTGAATTCTCTTTTTAGGGACAGATAACATTGTAATTTACTTTCCTACTTTACATTCATAGGAAAACACCCATCAGGCCTCTTTTCAGAAGCCTCCACCTGTGGCACTGAACAACACAGCAAATTCAGCTACATTGCAGAACAATAACAAATACAAGAAATTACTCCGGCAACCACCAGTAATATGAAACTAATGAATGTGTCCTTCTAAATACATGTACAAAAAGTTTTGTAAGGGAACACAAACATATATATGAGAATAAGGGAAACAGAGGAGGAGGAAGAGGGTTGAGTGATGTTAAATGTTTAATCCACCCACTACAAAATATCCTGAAACATTTACATCTTTAATTCAAATGAGAATCATTATGCACCTGCTGGTATTAACTGCTGGTTGCCTTTAAAATCACTTCTCACTTCATCTGAACTTAACCTGAACCACAAAGCTGCCAAAGCACTGCATTACACATCCCAGCTTTATTAATTCAGCATGCACTGAAAATCCAGAAGCACTCTGGACAGGATGCTGACATTAACCTTTACCCCAACCATACCTTTGTCTTATTCATGATGTTTTATACAACTAAAAACGTGTGCAAGCCTATACTAGTAAACCAGAGGCATAATTATTGGGACTCGCTGTAAGATTTAGTCCGTATGAAGCCCACAGCTTCAATTTTTCATCATTTTTATTGGGGATTTGTTTTTATACATTTGAGGCAAAAAACACTGAATGTTCCTTTTTAAATCATCAGAGATGCTGTGAGACTGTTCTGGAAATGCATACGATCAAAACATGACCTCCCTTAATCGTATCGCATCAGGCCGTGTAGAGAAGAGGCATTTCACACCATGGAAAAAGCCTTTTCACATAAACTTTTTCCCCCTCCGTGTGCTGACGCAGCAAAATACATCAGAGCTTGAGTGTTTTAAATAACTGCTCCCGTACATTATTGGGTCATCCCAGTGCTGTCTGGCTGAATTCTGGTTCCTCTCTGCTTCTCTGAATCCTGCTGTGGTTTAAAGCCAGATCTCTGAGTGCTTAATGCAGGGGGGGGGGATGTTGTAAACAGTCTGTGATGAGTCTAAAAGCTCCTACGAGGCTTCCTCTTTGCTGAAGTTATCCCTGGATGTCTCTGGACTGTCAGGCTACATTTACATATCTCCTACGCTCTCTGCGCCCACCATCTGACTTTTAAATATTTGGAAAGGTCTTCCAGTTTTCCCTCTCTTTCCTCACTTCCCTCCACTTCTCACACAGTGGTTCAAGGAACACATTGATCATTTCCTTAAGTTTATCGTTTAACTGATATTCTACAACACTAAAAGGGTTATTTTACCTGAATTACAAAAATATGTTTTCTTACCCCTTGTGGAAATTAGTCATGCGGAGAATTAATCCCTAATTCAACCATCAAGGGTTCTCAGTGTGTTCCCGTCAGTTCCAGTAACTGATCACGACACCCACTCGCACACCTGCTACTCATTCCCCAATTACCCTTGTATAAGCTGTGGACCTGCCCATTTCAATCGTCTATCCCAGCCTCTGTTTTCAGCCTGACCTTGTTTTCGACCCCTACCTACCGTTTGACACTACCGCCTGATTGTTTATGCTTCTCTGGGCTCGGTTGCCTGTTGTTGACCTTCGCCTACCTTAACAATCCAGTAAAGTTTATTTTTACTTTCCTTTTTTTCCTTCTTTTTCCAAAGTTGAAGTTTATTGTTGGAGCAGCTGATAGCAGCACATCTCAGGGTCATTTTGAGGATTTGGATGTGAAAAAAAAAAACCTAACCTTTATGTCAATGACTTTTTAATGACCACATTTAATCTACATTTACTGGGGAAATCTGTAGAAACATTGAGTGGTGACGCAGATTAGAAATCAGCCATGTTGGCTACGTGGCTACAGTTATAAGGGTTAATATTTAAGAAATACGAAGTGACTTGATTCCAGTGGGTGAATGACTCTCCGGCAAAATTGGGTCAGTTATCTCTCTTTAAGAATTTGGAATAATTGTCAAATATAATTTAATATCAATATAATGTTAAGTTTAATTTCCCATGATTCTAGTAGGCTAATCTGAGTGAATTTGAGGGTCTTTGAGTAATCTCTAGGACTTTTGTCTAGGTTCTGAATAGGAAGATACTAAAGTTGATCTTAACTACACTTCTATTTTTCCATTCTATATTTATTTTCTTTAATTATAACTATGTAATCTATATTGTCATTTTCATATATTTTGTACTTTTTGTAAATAAATTATTGAAAAATGAATACAGATTGATAATAATTGATCCAGACTAATGATTTTGTGCCTCTTGTTTATTATGAGGGAAATCCGGCCAAGAAAAAGGCCCCACAGAACACAAATGCCTGGTGCTGGGAACAGACTGAACCAGGCAGCAAGTGTGCAGTAAAACCAACACTGTGAGCGAAAAGAGGCTAAAAAGCTGCATGGAGCAGCAGAGTTGGCCATAATTCTGTGAGGTTGTCACTACATGTGATGTGTGAACACACTGCATTCTTAAAACAGGGTTGGAAGGTATTTTTAGTATGAAGTGTGCAACTGGAGCTCAAGTCTGATCTTGTGTGCTGCAAGTATTCACACATGCATTAAAGTGTATTTCCTATTCCAGATGACACATCTAATTGAGATACAATAAAAAATATTAATATCAGGTGTAGTATCTGGCCCAGTGATATTTTTTTATCTAATAGTAATTCGTGATGGTCGTCTCCATAATAATAATAAGAAGAAGAAGAAGAAGAAGAAGAAGAACCCATCAGAGTCTCTTTGCAACGCACTGGGAATCCCTATAGCATCGTAGTTCACCACATTGGGGGAAGCCCTGTAGCGTCAGTTTTTGACAGTAAAGGCAGGTATGTGATATTTAACAGAAAAGGCAGAGTAAGGAGGTGGTTAGGGTGGATGGAGAGCCAGAACCCCGACTGTGAACCAGGAGACCAGGGTTCGTGCCCTGTGTGAAACCCAAACCATGATCTTTTCCTAACCTTAACCAGTAGTCTTGTAACGTTTCACGACTTTAATACCGTGTCGTTTCGAGCGTTGCTAACTTGACCGCAAAGCCTTAAACGTCTAAAAATTACTCAAAAGGAGTACCCAGGGCGTTGCAAAGCGACGCCAAAGGGCCTTGACCAACGTCAATATGTGACAAGTCGGTAGTAAGAATGTGTTGACAGTAACAATATGACTGCTGTGTGCTTTTTGTAATGTTTTGTAGTGTTCAATCTCTTTACACAGAGATTATGTTGATGGATTTTGTTAATAAAGTAGATTTTGTAAAGCCCTAATGAGATTTGCAATCAAATGAGTGCAGGACTTATTTAACAGTCTCCACATTAAAAATTTATCACAGCATCTGAACATCAAACAACCTCTTTGAGCTGGTGTTGGTAATTCTAACCTCCACTCCTCCCCTACCTCCCTCATCTCTCGCTCGGTCTCACCCCCTCCTCTATTCAATCTTGTCATGACCAGTTATTTCCTTCTCAGAAGATGAAAAATAACATCAATATTTTCCAAGGCTGTGATCAAGCAGCGACCTTCTGGAAAAACTCCCATCCCCTTTGTTTTTCTCTTGCTCTTAGGCTAAAGTGTTGGTCCGTTTTCCTGCTCGTTATAAATACATTAACAGGCACCAGGGTCTAAAGAGTTCTCAGCACTCAGATGCTTCTGATGGGTTTCGTCTCCACCTCCGCCAATCTCCACTCATCTGGAGAGTTTGATTACTTGGAGAGAAGAATTAAAGGTGGTATAATGCTCATTTTCAGGTTCAAAATCATACTGCACATTGCTGCAGCTCCTCTTTTCACCCTGTGTTGAACGCTCCGCTCTTGAGCTACAGAGTGATGCATCTTACTTGTACAAAATCTTTGTTGGGAGTTGCACATGCGTAGTTCCCAGGTAAGGACTACTAGCCAATCAGAAGCAGAGAAGGGCGGGTCGTAAGAAACAAGGTAGTGTGATCCAAATCAAAGCCGCTTCAGACTGAGACCGTAACCTAGCAGATGGTATAAGTTACTCTCAAGTCCACAACATCATTGTTCCACATCTTACAATAAACCACTACAAAAATCACCATATTTCAACTCAATTTTACATAAAAATTGGCCAAACAATTTCAATGTTTTCTCAGTAGCTTTCACATCAGGTGTAACATTAGCATTATAGCTATAACTTTAGCTGTGTTAGCCAACATTTACAACAACTCTGCACTTGAACAGACTGTGAAGTTACATTGCCGTGTTTATTTGAAATATAATTCACAACCAATAAAACATACTTACAGGTTGTGATTGTGAATTTCCAGACCCAAACAGAGTCGGAGTTGCATCGTCTTTTAGGACTAAACGTTGAACTGTTGCCGGTGTTCTGACGATCTATGCTGCCTTGCCGAAAAATGCTACCATAGCGCAAATCGATAGACTGGACTCTACTCGGCCCTGCTCCGTTTTCCATTGCAGACAGTACCCAGAGATACGTAGCTTGTCGTATGCGACACACACACCAGCGATCCACACAGCTTTCTCTTTTTTAAGTTAAAGCATTTCAACATTCCTCAGAATGTAAAGACAGATAAGCGGTATGAAAACCTTCCAGCTGTGTTTTCCTCTGCCGTTGTTGCTGCAGCGGTCTGTGTGACGGCGGGAGCAGAGGGCTCTGTGAGCGGGCGGCTGGCCGGCCTCACACGCTCCTCCCGTGGGTTGGCACAGGCTTCCCCCACAGCCACTTGCGGAGCTTCTCAACTCCGAAAATATTCAAGCACATTTTTGTTCCGCCATCACTTCTCGTAAAACTGTACACAGCTGATATCTCACCTCAAAACTTCTCAGAAGTGGCTTGGTTTTTGAGGGCGTGCCCGACCCCGCTAGCCGCTTGACAAGTTTGTTGTTTGACAAGCTGTTTTCAGGCAGTTCAGAGCAGTGTTTTCTGTGGGAGATGGGAACTCCCTTTGGGCTGGACTTTGGGCTTTTTCACTTTGCAAACCTGTTACATGCACAAAAAAGATATAGACAAAAAGCATAATCCCACCTCTTTAAGAACAGCAACACTAGACATCTACAGCCTCATTGGTGGCTCTGTGAGTCCGTAACGTTCATTACACACCAAAACACAAGATTGGTGGAAGGTCATACTTGTGGGAATAATAATGTAAAGTTAGTCATGAAGGTGGCACCAGAGGAAAGGCCATGTTGTTCCTTAAATAAAGAGTCTTTGTACAGATTCTCTGTACAGTAGCCTGTAGCGAAGCAAACGGCAGATCTCTCCAGGTACACGGGGGCTTTTGATTTTTCATTGCTAAATCATGCAATTCTATCAGCATGTGACTGTTGTTGTAGTATTTATATGTATGTTTGAAAAAACAAACATAAATTAGGACTTTAAATTCTGCAAACAAAAGCAACAGCTGCAGCAGCAGAGCTATGATGAGAATCTTAGAGAAGTGGTGTTTCAGCGCAGGTCCTCTGAGATTCATCCAACCTTGTAAAAGGACATGTTACAGTGGGTTGCCAGTTGTTGAAAAGTTTATTTTTTCCACATCCTAACCAGACCCTGTCCTTTAATATTGAATGAGGGGTTTGATTTCAGATATCCCCTACTTTGAGATTCAGATGTCCCTGTAGAAACACGCCAGCACATCTTCTGATGGGATCAGACTAATTGAAATTTGTTTGCTAATCCTAATAAATAAATACATACATACGTGTTTCTTTAGGAGTTTCTCATTTGGTGAGTCTTCTTTATCCAGAACAATACAGCAGGAGAAAATAAACAGATATGAGCAACAGACTGTACTGTAGCTCTGCTTTAGTATTTTTTTTAGTTTTTATCTCATCATCTTCTCTTACTTTTCTTCCTTCAAATCCATCATTTGTATTGTTTTTGTTTCCTGGGAATAAAACATAACACTACAGCATCAGCGTGTGCATACATACATACACAGACACATAATATGCAATATATGCTGCACACAGATGTAACTGGACCTTAAGGAATATACAGGAAGTCAAATGAGTCCCTGGAAACACACTCAAAATCGAGTTTAATAACCCAGAACCTGGAAGAAGACAGTATGTATAACAATATAAACACTATTTCCATGTAACGTAAAGACACACCTACTATGAAGTACTAGATGTAAAAAAAAAATAATGTACCGTGCCAAGAAAAAGAAAGTAAACCCTTTGGATTATTCAACCATAAAATGTGGTCTAATCAAAGTCGATATAATAGACAAATACACTCTGTAAACAAACAAATGTTTTACGAATAGGCATATTTACTAAATAATCCCTATTATAGAACCAACTTGGAAATAGTATATGAACCCTTTCACTAATGACCTCTAAATACACCAACATATGCAATTGTTTTTTGTCACTACATCAGTCTAAATGTTATGACTAAATTATGCAATAAAGCA